GACATATTTGATAACTATCCAATCACAGCTCTCTGTAGAAACAAAGGACTCAAACATTTTTAGGAAAAGATGAAAAGTACTGACGTTTCGGACGCTAGTCCTTCGTTGGAGTAAAAGAGGAAGAGGTGGTAGAAAGGAGTGTTTATATGATAGAATAAGACAAAAGAAACCAATGAGAACAAGGTAGGCAAGGAAACAAAAACAAACAATCAAAAGCAAAAGAAAAGGTTAGTTGAAAGTAAAGCGTTCATTAAACCCGTTGGGACTAAGAGTGCCCAATAGGTGAATAAGCCGCATTTCTTTGGTCTTGCAACAATCATTGTTGCCATTAATCAAAGAAAGACCGAAAACAATGAAGTCAGAAAGAGAATGGTTAGCTAGATTAAGAGGCTTGGTAAGGATCTGGCTTCTGATTGGATGATTCAAAAAATGTTTAAAAAACATGGTTCGAATGTTCAAACAGTTTATTTTTGACTTGCATGAGTGGAAAATAAAGCAACTCGAAACTACTGAATTTGCACAATATTAAAAATCCCAGAGAAATATAATTTATGCTTGTTATACTTTACCTTTAGAATGATATGCCCAGCAGCTAACTGTACTTTTTTACTCCACTTCTTTAAAACATGATATGAAAGATCACTTCTACCAACATACTTTTTTCCTTCCATAAGTTCCTCATGCAGATAGACATTACGAACCCTATCAAGTTCTTTAACTTGGAATGGTTTCAACCCTTGTTGGTAAGCCTTGAAATGCATCTTTTGACAATTATCTTTAAGGATCAAATATCCGAACTTTGTCAAGCCGTTACAGAATATAACCCTCTCGCGCGCTTCCATACTGATTGTGCAGAGGGAACTAAGTCCAGTAACAGCTGGAAAACATGTAAGAATATCTACTGTTCCATCAGAGTAGTCCATAAGCAGTTCTACTGTGCCAGTCTCTACGATTGTTTTCGACTGAGTGTCCATTTTCTTTGCGAAATCTATCATTGATTTAAGAATGGTTAAACTGTTAAAATATATTGATTTCCAGGGAATTCCCTTGCATATGCTTTCATCCGGGATTCGTAGTTGCAAGAATTTTTGAAGAACTTTGAGGAGGTTGCACTGGTAGAGTACCCTTACAAGAGCATGAAGTATCTCAATACATCTCTCTTCTTCAAGCTGAAAGACAAAGAATTTTGAAAAAGTACTTTAAAATGTGTGTCACTGAAGATATAGAATATGTGCGCATGTGCTGAGTGTACTGAAGCAAGGGTTGCCAGTACATGAGAGAAGTGTTAGGAGAAGCATGAAGCATAGCGGAGTGCTTTATTAGTGAATGGAGCATAGTGTTGACGCCATCTGCGCGTGCAAAGTACTGCTAAATCCTGCAACCATCTTTCTTCAGTTTTACGTAAATAAATTCAATACCGAAATAAAATTAGCAACTATATAATAAAACGAATGAAACAGCTTTTTCCGTGCTCTGTTCAGTAATAATAAAGCACATAGGAAGCACCGTAATCACTCAAAAAGTGCGAGAGGCATGAGCCTACTGCAAGTGCTTCTCCTTGCACTTCTTTCGTGCTTATGCCACTTCCTGCGTGCTTTATTACTGAACGGAGCACGGAAAAAGCGGTTTTATAAAAACGAAGTTTGCTATCTTATGATAAAGTTTGAAAGGCTTCTTTATTTATATTAGTCCAGAATATTTATACAATTTTTTAAGAAAATTGATAAAGTATGTGGTCTTAACGCCCCCCCCCCTCCCCCCCCCCCCCCCCCCCCTCCCCTCCCTGCCAGGAACTTGGCTTCACGCTTTCATACCACAAACATCAGCGTGACGTGCCCACAATGCTAACAAAAAAACACGCAAAGGCATATGTTTTATACCCAAAAACACATGTTTTATACGCGAAAATGAAAAATTAAGTAAGTCTACACTTACACAAACCCTAGTTTCACCAAACTGATCGAGAAATTTGACGATTTCAGTGACGGATTTGACTTGAGCATATTGAAGATTTTCGTTTCTTCCCAACGCGAGTTCTACTGCTTCAATAGGACTGTCACCACCGCCTAGAAAATGGAAGAATCTTTCAGCTTTTTTCTTCTTAGCCTTCTCTGATACCTTCCGGACGTCGAGGATTTCTTTCATTGTTGCATCTACTTCGGATTTTTCGAGGGCAAACGTTTTTTTCGACGACATGTTTGTGTTTCAGTCAACACTCGAAATTCCAATATGGAGGAGATGGAGGATGATGATCTGAGACAAGCACCACAGGGGGCCCAAATACACAACAAAAGGTCTGATTGACGCAGCTTTTTCGGGTTGCAATTATGCTAATCAAAATCGCAAATACTACCTTCCTAAAGACAAAAAGATGTTTAAAACAAACCCTATTTTAAAGGAAATTTTTTACAATTTATTTTTTTCAGTTTTCCTTTCTCCCTATCCTCCAACGCAATTGACGTCATACTTCAAAGTTCTACTGAACCTTGACTACTCTTGACTACCTTGTCACTGAGAGGGTGTGCAATTTTTTTGTATTTGTTCTTTTTCTTTTTCTTCCTTTTTCTTTCTTTCTTTCTTTCTTTCTTTCTTTCTTTTTTGCTCGCCCGTCTACTATGTTATAGCTTTAATTTTCGAATAACTGAAAAATTTAAGAGGCAAATAGCTCCCCTCTATTTACTATTGATTTATATTTAATGCACGTTAAAATATATATACATATGTATACTTTTGCTGAATCACGTCTCGAGGTAACGACGTCGTGAGCGAAATGATTCGCCACAGGTAGCCCAAGCTTGGTTTCTGTGGTGTCCTGTTATAAGGAAATGTATGGGGAATCATCAAAAATTTCAATAAAATCATCAAAACGTGAAATAAAGCCTCGAAATTTTACCCTATCATTGAGAAATA